TCCACTCCACTCCACTCCACTCCACTCCACTCCACTCCACTCCACTCCACTCCACTCCACTCCACTCCACTCTATTCTTTACATACTGCTTTGTTAGAAAATAGAGTATGAAAGACAACATTACTCCAGGCAAATGATAAGGTGTTGGTTTTCTACAAATAAAAGTTTTTTGTTAGAAAATTATTGATCCCAAAAACCCTATGGAATAAAAATTTCAAAGAAGCAAATTTAAATAGTGCCTAAATTGTGAATGAAGGCTGAATTGCCACAATTATTCAGCTTGTACAGAGAAGCAAATTCATTAAATTTGGTGTAATACTACAGTGAGAAAAAGAAAAGAACAATTTAATGTAAAAAGGAAAGAAACAACTGAATGAACTTATTTCTACAGAAATAGCCATTTCTTGGCCATTTCTAGCCAAATCCCTTTTATGTAGTCTGTCTAGTTTGAATTTGAGGCTGGTGGGTGGAGATATTAGCTCTTTCTATTCTCTGCCTTGGTCCACAGCTTTTCCACCTGGCCTGCCAAAATTTTTTAAAACACTTAATAAAGAGCATATCTTTCTCAAAAATATGAGGTGAGCAATTAAGCCTATCTAGCAAGCAAGGGTGATGTATTCACAATAGAAGAGAATATATGTTATTCAGAATTAAATTGTGGAGTCCTTGGTGATCTCTGAGCATAGTTGTTTGCTTGCAGATGTTTTATTACCCAACTAGGTAACATCATCAGTGCATTCACAATATATAAATGTTAAAAACCAATCTAGTATCCACTTTGATTTCCTGCTGTAACACTATATGCTGATCTAATCTATATACTACTAAATCTCTCATGCCTGTAACCTTTAACTGGGTGAATCAAGCCATGCACCATAGGGGCAATTATTTTTGAACCAAGATGCCTCAAATGGGCCAACATACAGGATGCTTCCAAAACCAGTGACTCCTGGCTCTTGTGAGGATGAAAATTGGTAAATTAGAGGTGGCAACACTGCCACATCACCACCCAAAAGTTAAGTAAACTGATCCTGCTGTAGCCCTTCAGAGCAGAGGTGGTATGCTGCCAGTTCGCACTGGTTCAGGTGAACTGATAGTGGTGTTGGCACGAGGCCCCGCCCGCCCACCCAGACATCATCAAGGACCTTCTGCGCATGCCCAGAGGGTTCTGTGCATGCACAAACATGCATGCTCCCACTACCGAAACAGTAGTGAACAAATTAGAATACCACGACTGCTCCAGAGGCCAGTAGACTGGAGGGCAGTCAGCCATGGTCAAGACTATAAGAAATAAGAAATTGCTCCTATTCCCACTACTCTTTTCTCCTTGGTCATTCTGTTTCTCTGTTTATGTAAATAAATATCTGAAATGATGACACAATGTTACTGTCCTGATCCAATGTTATTTTTTAAAAATAAATTGCTTTA